AGAGCCTGAAGCTGGGCTCGAACTCACGGAGCGCGAGATCGTGACCTGGCTAAAGTCGGACGCTTAACCGACTGCGACTGCGCCACCCAGGCGCCCCATGTTGGCTGAGTTTCTTAAGCAGGTACAGTGCTAGGCACTCTGACACAAAGATTAATAAAACCAAGCACCTGCTCCTGCATTTATAATCTAGCTGGAGAGCCAGACGTAAGTGCAAATACATAGTGTGATAAATGCTACAAAATAGGCAGGCGCTGAGCGCCATGGAATGGTTTATAGTTATAATAACAGCATTTATTGAGGACTTGGGTGCCAGCAAAGTTGATTCAGTTTAAAGTTTCAGGGGCTGCTGGGTGGCTCAGTTGGTTAAATGTCTGACTCTTGATCTCTGCTGGGGCCACGATATCGCAGTTTGGGCCCCACATCAGGCTCCGTGCTGATAGTGCAGAGCCTGCCTGGGATTCTCTCTCTCTCTCCCCCTCCCCTGCTCCTGAGCACATATGGGCACGTGTGTACATTCTCTCTCCCTCAAAATAAATAAAAATAAACTTTAAAGTGTCAGGGATCTTTACGTGCACAAGCCTCTTCCAAGACACTTGCAGTGGAGTGAGGGTCTCTAGCAACATATTCACGTGGTGATACGTTTTTGTAATTTTTCTAAAAGTAAGACTTTTTTTTTTTTATTTTCTTTATTTTGAAAGAGAGAGAAAGCATGAGTCAGGGAGGGGCAGAGAGAGAGGAAGAGAGAGAGAATCCCAAGCAGGGACTAATCAGTGCAAAACCCGATGTAGGGGCTTGGCCCCACAAACAGTGAGATCATGACCTGAAACAAAGTTGGACGCTTAACCGACTGAGCCACCCGGGGGCCTCGAAAGTGAGATATTTTAACTGAAATAAAGACCTCTCGCTCTTTTTTCCCCAACCACTTCTCTATCACACATTTTCTTGTGTCAGTTGGCTGAGTAATTATGGCCATTTTCCAGATCCAGCAAAAAGGAAGTCAAGTTGGAGATACATTTAGTTTGGATTTAGTGGGATATTTTTGTGTGGCTTACAGTCACTTCCAGGTTTACTAGATTATCGCTAGCCACACCCATGTAGAAATGACTTCCAAGAATACTCCTGTCACCTACTGGGCCAACTTACCCCGTGTTGTGACCCAAAAGCACACAACCAGAGACTGTACTGCTGTATGAATGTGTCCTGTTGTGCCAAGTTACCGGAAGTTTGTGGCTAGCAAAAGATGACACTTGAAATGAAGGAACCCAGAAGCTGCTCTGTGGAATATTCTTCCAATGAATTATTACAGCTCATACACGAAAAATACTTGATGGAAGTTTCCCCAAATTTAAGAACATTCCTAAGAATTAACACATTACCAATAGTGAGTTGTAACCCTTAAAGACACTTTTCTAAGCTATCAGTGGTATAAAACACATCAACATGCTAGAGAAAAGACAGTTATCTTTTCTATTATCTCTGTAGAAAGCATGACAAAATTGTTGTGCTATGAAAATTTAATTAAAGGGAGGGGTGCCTGGGTGGCTTAGTTGGTTGAGTGTCCAACTTTTGATTTCCGTTCAGTTCATGATCTCACGGGTTTGTGGGATCGAGCCCCACGTTGGGCTCTGTGCTGTTAGCTTGGGATTCTCTCTCTGTCCCTCTCTCTCTGCCCCTCCCCAGTGCATGCTCTTTCATAATAAATAAATAAACTTTAAAAAAAAGAAAATTTAGGGGCGCCTGGGTGGCTCAGTTGGTTGAGCGTCCGACTTCGGCTCAGGTCATGATCTCGCGGTCTGTGAGTTCCAGCCCCGCGTCAGGCTCTGTGCTGACAGCTCAGAGCCTGGAGCCTGCTTCAGATTCTGTGTCTCCCTCTCTCTCTGCCCCTTCCCTGCTCATGCTCTGTCTCTCTCTGTCTCAAAAATACATAAAAACGTTAAAAAAATTAAAAAAAAAAAAAGAAAATTTAATTAAGGGGAATGTAGCCAGAATACTATTGGGAAAAAAGTATTACAATGATAGGTACAGGCAGAGTCTGTGCTCCAAAATAGACATTTTCTCCTCCTCTTCTCCATTTTCTCCCTAATTAAACTCTTTTCTTCCTCTTTCTTCTTTTTCCCCCAGCTCTGTTGAGATATAATTGACAAATAAAAAGTGTATATAAAGTGTATAATGTGATGGCTTGATATATGTATGCATTTGTGAATGATTATCACAATCTAGTTAATTAACACATCTGTCACCTCACATAGTTACTTTTTTTGATGTGGTAAGTTAGATCTACTCTCTTAGTAAATTTCAAGCATACAATGTAGTGTGATTAACTATGGTCATCATGCTGTGCATTAGGTCCCCAGAATTTATTTTACAACTGAAAGTTTGTACTCTTTGACCAATAGCTCCCTATTTTCACCATCTCCCAGCCCCTGGTAACCCCTGTTCTATTCTCTGATTCTATGAGAATGACTCTTTTACATTCCACATATAAGTGAGAATGACTCTTTTACATTCCACATATATAGTAGTTGTCTTTGTCTGACTTGTTTCACTTAGCATAACGTCCTCCAGATTCAACCATAATGGTACAAATGGCAGAATTTCCTTCTTTACAGATGAATAATATTACATTATATATTTATTAATAGTATACAATAGATATATAATATGTAATAGAGCATATCTAATAGATACATAATTAATTATATGTCACATCTTCTTTATTCATTCAACTCTCCATAGATACTTAGGTTGTTTCCATATCTTGGCTTTTAGAAAAAAAGGGAATCCTTGCTCACTATTGGCAGGAATGTAAACTGGTACAGCTATTATAGAAAATGCAATGGAGGGTGTTGAAAAAATTAAAAATAGAACTACCATGGACCCAGCAAATCCCACTATTGGGTATGTATTTGAAGAAAATGAAATCAGTGTCACAAAAAAGAGATCTGCACTCACATGTTCATTGCAGTAGTATTCACAATAGCCAAAATTAACTCCCCCGCCCCTGTTTGGACTGAGGAAAGAACTCAGGTAAATTACCTTCCCACGTGGACTTAACGTTTCATGTGTCACTATCCAGGGCAATTGTATTTTGAAACACAGATGCTAGTTACCACTTATGAATATGATTTTAATGGTGGCAAAGCTTTTGCTATCAGAAATCTCCATCTTTTTTCAATGAAGAAAGATCATTATTAGGAGAGATTTGCCACTTGTTGCATTGTTTGGCAGTTTTTATTCATTACTTCAAGCCTTTTGCAGACTTAGCAACTTATGACACAGAATGCCAGTTAAATTTGAATTACAGATAAACAACAAATAATTTAATCTAAGTATATCCCAAATATTCCATTTTTCTTTAAAGAGTTTGAGCCATGCAATATTTGGGACATACTTAAATACTGTGTTGTGTATTTGAAATTCAAATTTAACTGGGCATCCTGTATTTTATCTAGGAGCTGTATTGTAAGTAAGTAATCCAAGCTCTCAGCTTGGATTAGGTTGCTCTGAAATGCTGTTGTTTTTTTAAACAAAGTCTCCAGGACAAAACATTACATTTCCCACTTGCTGGGAACACTACGTTCCAGTTCCTTAGTTCTTTCTATTAAAAACGTGATTGCAAAGAGTAGCCAATTCTGTGGGAGAGACGGTCCCAAAGAGCTGCAGGTGGGCCACCATCTAGAGAACAGCAAACATCCGGCAGAAGTAGGCCTTGAGCTGACCCTCTAATTGGAGCTCATTGGCCATCACAGCACTTAGCACAACCCTTGGAGCCAAGTGCGAGCCGGAACCTAGGCGACCTGCTTCTCTCCCCCTTTCCCACTCAGTCTTTGAGATTAACTTCCAAAGGGACCCTTCCTCTCTCCAGATCCCTGACGCTCTCTTCCCCTCACCCCCGCGCCTCCTTGCCCAGTGGGCGGGAATCGAGAAGCTAAGTACCCAGAATTAACAGTGAGCATTGAAAGCAACAGCTCCCAAGGGTGTG